TTAACTGGTTTTATTTCCTTAAAAACAGGGTGCGGTGCTAAACGTTCAACTGCAATCACTTTCTACTTATTTTTTTACTTTTTTTTTATTTGTGTGGTTGACGGGTGCTCTAGTGCGTTTTTTTTCCTTTCCTTTCAAACGACTACATTTACCGAACTTTCCCCTCCTTCTTTCTTCGTGTTTGTTACTTTCTTGTAACAAATAACGCCTCTAATCTTCGGTGTTTATGAGACCTAATTGTGTTGCAAGTTCCCTAAAACGCTCTCTAAAATATATTTTATTTCTTATCCCTATACACTCTTACTTCCTTTAGATAGTTTTCTTCCTTTTAATCGTTTCCCTCTCCTATCTTCTTTTGTTTGTTTTCTTTTTGTCCTGCCCCCCCCTCCCCCGCGCACACCAGGCACAGTAAGCGGGTGCCCCGGGAACAACAAGAAGTGTGTCATTGACCGTGAAGAGAACGTGAGCTCCAGGTTCACCAAGCAAGACATGGTGCTTTTCACTCCGCGGCTCCAATGGTGGGCGCTCATCACAGACTTGTACTATGACTGAATACTAGACTGCGCATTTTGACGAACTGCCGGTTCACCAAGTTGCGCACCATTAAATTTGACTTTTTAAAGATATTATATTATTAGCCTATAGAACCAAATTAGTTGAAGGATAAGGAGGGAAAATGTGTCCATGCATTCTACTAGAGTGAGCTTAGTGTTTTATCCTTCATGTGCAAGCCCGAAGCATGCACCAGCACAGCGAAGTAAAAAAAAAATTTTTTTTTGGTCTGATCTAGTTTTCATAAAGAGAGAAGAACAGTGGCCATGACAGTACCTAATCTAGGGTATTATACAGCATTAGTCTATGACTCTATGACGCTCACTGGCCTTGTTACCTGCGCGCAGAACGTAAAACAAAAACAATCCTGGGTGAACAGTGGAGCTGGTGGGAGGTGGGTTTGTCTGATCTAATGATTCTGGGAGGTCTTATCCCCAGAAAATGACCTGGGAAAAGTGGAGCAAGAAGGGTCGAGAACGAAAATGAGAGTGTATGTATGTTTTAGTTTATTTTTATTAGAGGTTTTACGGCACTCGAAACTGCATAAGGTCATATACGCGCAAGAAGATTAGATGTGTTACAAGAGAGTAACAAACATAAAAAAAAGAAGAAGGGGAGATAAGGACGATAGATGTGATGTTTGGTAGGAAAGAAGAAGCAAATCACACCAGAGCACCCGCCAGTATGTTTGCTTATTTTTTGTTTGTTTGTTGAATCTGTCAGTCTGCGTTTTTGTCCTCGTGAGGGTCTGTCTATCTACCGGCCAGTCTATCTGTTTGTCTATCCCCCCCTCCCCCCTCCTCTCTCTCTCTCGCTTTCTCTCTCTCT